TGGGTTTTCCTATAAAAAGCTTCAGAGTTAAATGAGATAAAACTCGCGTCCGAATTTCAATTCACATTAAAACTCAGATTACTTATATAGAACAGTAAAACGTCAGTTCTGATGTTAACAACCAAATAATTTACTGGCACTTTTTAACTTAAGATTGGCAAATAAAGGATAAGAAAAGAGATGAAATTAAGGTTAGTGTTTCTGCTTTTATTTTGGTAAGGGTATGTGACAACCGGATCAGCAAGTCCCATCTGCGCTCAGATTTGCACATGACACATCACCCCAGAACACGACAGCGTTTACCTGTAGATGGCTTCTTTACCACACTCCGGGCAAATTCTGCCTCACCCTAGACCAGTCAGGGAATGAGTTCCTTGGCCCGCTCAATGCTCCGTGGCGAGAAAGTGTTATTTTAGGCAACTTCGTCTGCTTCGATCTTCGCCAGAAAGATTCGAGCTGGAGTTTCCGGTTGTCCTTCAAAATAAAAGTTCTCCCCTCGGGAGTTAAAAACACTGAAGAGACGTGAGTCTCCGAGTGGACAGAAGCGGAATGCTTACTGTCCTYGCCYGCAAATCTGCCCTATTTGGCTTATGGGCCAGACCTGCAGCCGAGCTGTTTCCTCCGGAGAGAAATCAGCCGGTCTCCCTGTTTCGGCATTCAGGAAGAAGAGTGTGTTATCATCTCTCAAAGACGTCCGTGTTAGTAATAGAGGCAGACGACTTTGGTTCTGCCCTCAGGCGTTATAGATGAGTCAGAGAAAGGAAAGAAGATAAGAGCTTTGCCAGTGGCACCAGTCAAGGTTGAATTCTGTGGCTGTTTTAACAGAATGTGATAATATCTTCTTTAACTTTCTTTCTGATAGACTAAAAGAAATCACTGTAAAACATTTATGATGATTAATTAACATTTCTGTTTAAATAATCAGTCTGAGCCTTGGTGGTCCAGATAAATGAAAGATTTTCTCAAGAAAAACTCAAAATTATATTACTGATGTTTCCAGTAAAATAAAAACAGCGATTAATATAAAAACACAATGAAAACATGGTGATGATTTTCTCTGTGATTTTTATACCATTAATTACGGAAGCGTATTGCTATCACACAGAAAAAAAAATCCGAGCGCTATCACGTTATAACGTGAACCTGACTGTGAAGTCCCCGGGTCTGCCTGAGCCTCTAAAGATCTCCAAGCTGGTCTCTGCTCCTGAACTCACTCTGGTCCCTGCTGCAGCTGAGGACTCCTGACCGTCTGCAGCTGAGTCCTCGCCGTCCTCGCCGTCTGCAGCTGAGTCCTCGCCGTCTGCAGCTGAGTCCTCGCCGTCCTCGCCGTCTGCAGCTGAGTCCTCGCCATCCTCGCCGTCTGCAGCTGAGTCCTCGCCATCCTCGCCGTCTGCAGCTGAGTCCTCGCCATCTGCAGCTGAGGACTCCGCACCGTCTGCAGCTGAAGACTCCGCGCCGTCTGCAGCTGAGGACTCCGCGCCATCTGCAGCTGAGGACTCCGCGCCGTCTGCAGCTGAGGACTCCACGCCGTCTGCAGCTGAGGACTCCGCGTCGTCTGCAGCTGAGGACTCCGCGTCGTCTGCAGCTGAGGACTCCGCGCCGTCTGCAGCTGAGTCCTCGCCATCTGCAGCAGCTGAGGACTCCTCGCCATATGCAGCTGAGGTCTCACCACCAGCTACAGTGTCTCCTCCAGAGCCGGACATCCTGCAGAGTCTCTTCCAGAGCCGACCCCTCTCAAGTCTCTTCCAGAGTCGGTCCCTCCCGAGTCTCATGAGCTCCATCCTCATCATGGCCAGGCTCCAGGACGCCCACCTGAGATCCGTCTCTTCAGCGGCTGAGTACCAGGCTGCCCCCTGAGCTCCATCTTCGTCGAGGCTGGACTCAAAGCCGTCCACCTGAGCTGTGCCTCCGATGTGGTCGGATCCACGGCCTCCTGCCAGAACTCCACCTTCGCTGCGACTGAGTCCACGGTCGACCTCCTGAACCTCACCTCCACTGCGGCCGAGTCCAGGGTCGCCCTCCAGAGCCTCTGCCTCGTTGTTGTTGGGCTCCTGGGCACCCACCTGAACTTTATGGACTCTTTAGATGTGCCTAAGGCCATCTTGTGACCATTTTGTTGTTTTATCCCAGGACTTCAAAGGAAAAAAATTGTATAGGTCCTCTGGACGGGTTCTTCTTTAATGAAACGTTTCGTCTCTCCTCCAAGAGACTTCTTCAGTCTGAGAGTTTCTCTCAGACTGAAGAAGTCTCTTGGAGGAGAGACGAAACGTTTCATTAAAGAAGAACCCGTCCAGAGGACCTATACAATTTTTTTCCTTTGATTTTTTACCTGGATTACTGAGATGCATCAGGACATATCCCAGGACTTGTTCTCCTGTCAGTTTATGGTTTCATTTTTCTGTCTTTTTGTTTTTGTGTTTCCCTTGTTTGTTTTGTATTTTGCCCTTCGTCCTGTCTTTGTGTTTAGTACCCCCCACCTCGCACCAATACCAGTTTTTTTTAAATGGTCAGGTGACGATTCGTTGAGTGGAGGGCACTCTGAGAATGTGTGTTTGTTGTTGTTCTTTGTTATCTTGTGTGCCCTCATTGTCTTTTTTCATTCTTCTCAGTCTGTTCCCTGCTGGTTACCTGTCTAATTAACTCTACACACCTGTCTGTAGTTTCCAATCAGTAATTTCACTCAGCTTTTGCTCATCTCCTGATTCCTTCTGTTTGTTTAAAACCTGGTCATGTCCTCCACACCCTCGCTGATTCATTGTTTGATGTTCTCATCTACTGTTTGTTTTTTTTCCTTGTCTTTTCGCTGTAAGTTCTTGGAGTATTTGTTTGTTGCTGCCTTGTCTGCTTTTTTGTTTTATTTTTGTTAAATAAACATTTTACTTTTTGCAAACTTGTCTCAGTCCGATTTTGGGTTCATTCTCCTAGCCAAAACCTGACAGTGCAGCTGAGCAGCTGATACGAACAGGTGTAATTCATCATGTTTATGCAGCTCATTTACACACTTTTCCTGAAGATAGAAGCGTTTGTTGAATCTGACGTGACATGTTCGTACGAACCCTTCATACAAACAAAAGTAAGAGAAATTTAGGATAAGAATACAAACATGTTCTTGTATGAGGCCCATTGAGGACGTGCAGCACATTACGCGTTGTTGTCTTTTCTATTTAGTTTTAAATTATTGCACCCTTCTTACAATTTTGTCTCCTTCTAGCACTTAGCATACACATGTCAACAGTGTAACTGTTAGTGGAAGTGCTAATGCAGCATTTTGTAACACAAATAACATTCTGGCCAGGCAAAAATTGCAGTGATTATACAGTATCTATTTTTACCAAGCCTTTTTACCAACCTAATTATTTGAGGAATTGTTTCAGCCCTACTAACATGCATGTTTGTTTTTATTTTTGTCTGTGGGTGAAAACCAAAGAACCAGGAGAAAACCCATGCAAGCATTAGAAGAACATGCACACTCACAGAAAGACCCAAGTCCAAATGGGGGGTCTAATCCAGGACTTCCTTGCTGTGCGGCAACAGTGCAAACCACTTGATTTGGAGCTCTTGGCTAAATCTGCCTCAGTCCTCTGACCAAAGTTATTAAGATGAGAAGTCAGATTTTTGATAAGACTTGGAACTCCTTACCACTATCTACAGCAGACAAACCAGACTGAGAGGTCTCAAAATAGTCGCTGACCACACAAGCATTCACACAGACCTACATGCATCCACAAGCACGGTCTAGTATAGCTATCTTTATGGGGAAATTGCATTGACTTCCATTAATTTCTACACCCTAACCATAACCCCTTACCCTAAACCTAACCTCACAGGTACATACCTGACTCTAAACCTAACCTCACAGGTACATACCTGACTCTAAACCTAACCTCACAGGTACATACCTGACTCTAAACCTAATCATTTTTGACTTTGACTTGACACGGACAAAACATCACCTGCTGCTAAAAGGTTGCCTGAAAAAGGGTATAACACTTGTAAACAAATCTCTGGTATGCTGTCTAGTAATTTAAATATGTGGTGGTTTATTTATATGAAATACACTTTTGCGAAGCTGAAGACACATGCAATTACATACACTTACCATTACTATGTTGTACAATTCAAATTGTGCATATCATCATAAATTTAGAAACAATGTGCTGTTCAGGCCTAAAATTAATTTAAATTTAGTGAAGGCAGGCCAGAGAAACCTTAACTTAAAAAAAGACATGTAAGTGCCCTTAATTTGATGTAAATGAATTGAATAGAAAAGGGGTTTTTATGCCCACTTGCCTGTCTCTGTATTACAAGACCAGACAGAGGGTACTTTAAATAAATACAGGATGCCACAGAAATGTACACTTCCCACAGGAGAACTAGGAGCTAGGACTGGATCTGCACACCTAAACACTATATTCATTATGTTTTGGCCTCATAAAATGATTACATTAGAGCTCGATGACTGGGCTAAATTTGCTGCCAGGGTAGAACTTTCCTAACACAAACTGTTGGCTTTAATGGATCGCTTGCCACCTTTTTTGCGTTTTATCACTCTCAAACACCCAGTTTCATTGTCAGTGTTGCTGTGGTACCAAAACACTCACTCTCTGTCTACCAAAGTGCCAACATGTAGAGGTGAATTGGCAAGCTGTGGGATGTATTCAGGTGACACGTGAAAAATTTAAAACTGCACTTTATGCTCTGTGGGTACACTTACAATGTTAGTTCTTGTTAATCTGTGGCATTTGGACTGTTTTAACAATTACTTTGTGATGAAGTGCTGTAATTTAACTTTTTTGTGTAGACACTTTCCATCAACTTGCTTTGCATGTTCCTGTTTAACATTTCTCCATCTGGATGTGTGGGTAGCATTGGTATTCTGCTAAATGAGC